TCTGTCATTCCACATTAAACAGCGCCAAAACGGCATTTATTGTTTGAATACTGCAATACAATGGACATAAATTGAAACCTGAGACTTTGTTTCATATTAAAAGCACCAACGCACAATGTTTATTGCGATATATTGGATGGGAAGTTCCCTTCAATGTTCCGTCCATTAACTGAAAACAGGCTACAATAATCGATTCTTTGGATTTAGTAATCGATATCGTTCCGTAAAAAAGAGAATCGATTAATATCGATTACTACCAGATAGATGGACAAACAGACAGACAAATGGACAGACAGACAGATCTTTTTTTTTTTTTAAAGAAAAAAGGCAGCCAGAAAAAAGGTAGCGCGTTCTGCTCCTGTCTGGAGCTCAATATAACTTTATTGCAAAAATAAAAGTTTCATTTCTAGCAGAGCATTTACAACAAATTCGAACCCGTCTGTTCTTAAGGTCGAAGACTGAATATCTGTACACACTTTTTTTTTTGCCATATCTGCTTGTATTTCAACTCGGAAAAAAGGAAGGAAGGGTAAATCAGTCACAGATCCCTGTTCTGTCAGTAATCACACCAGGGCAGTGTTACACTGCATATTGGCCAAACCAAAAAAAAAACAAAATTAAAAAAAACTTCAGATAATTCAATGGGAATTTAATGCAGCGGCACTCCTATTCACCGTTAGGTCCTGATTAACAAACTATAGTACATGCAAAATTGTTCTGGTCAAATAAAAATAAGAGAGCATGTGATTGGTTGAGGTATTTGCCATGCTCTAAAATGAAACAAATGTTTGGCCCTTTTTCAATATAAACTACTCGTGTTCACTTCATTTCCATGAAATGGCACACTGTACCGTCAAACTCCGCTAATAGCTGACAGACACTCTCAACACTTTCAATGTGTAAGACTTCAACTAGCTAACCATCTCAAGCCACAAGATCCTCCTCAAATGCATCTAAGAAATTAAATACAATAAATATAAAAATCATTTATTCTCCAGTGGGGGAAAAACTGAAATTATCTCAATTGAGAACTGCAATTCTTTGAATTTAGCACTACTATAATAAGCATTATTATGACTGAAAATCTATCAAATGGACACTGGCACCCAGTTACGTTACCTTTTGCAAACCAAGGCACTGCAGAATGTTCTGTCCTTCTGTTTACGATCTCTTAAGTCTTAAAACAGCCTGAAAATTTTTTGCACTTAACAGTTAATGTAAGATATACTGTATAAATCAAAAAGTTAAACTGCTGCTACTACAAAATGTAAAAAAAAAAAAAGATCACAACAGGTGTAGGTGCTACTTATCAGGCAGAACAATACTGTTCACAAAAATATCGACACAAATGCCATTGAGGTTGTTGAAAGTTGACTGTTGGTACACTAGAGGAATCTGATGTACCTCTTATTACTTGCACACACGTTACAGCCCTCTAAATGAAGTAGTTACACATAAACATTGTTTTCCCATAAAAATGGGAGAAGTTACAATAGAGGAACGCTTCTAACTTAACACTTCTGAAGTGCACTAAACTTGAGTTAACAGTTAAATTACAATCACAGAACTAAGTAAGGTTAGCTTGGAATGCTAATTGGAAACGAAAGTGTATTTTGTGCATATACGGAGCAGACACTGTATATCAGCAGGCAAAGTTTGTCAGTCTTGGCGTTTTGTGTTTACATCAGTTAAGATGCAGCGTCCCACGCAGCAAAGTGCTCTGTTCTTCACAGCTTTGTGCTGAGATGGTGGCCAATTAAAGTGAACTTAACTCTACAGAACTGAATTAGCAGTGGAAACATTTACTGAAGGTAAAAGCGCAGAGAGCTGACATCTTCCTTTTAGCGTTTAAATGCAGCAGCTGTGTTAAAATGTGGTTTTAGAACATGAGCACTCCACATTCACATATGAGTCAAACATCATTGTCTTTCACTTTAGCCAAAGCAGCTAACAAGAACTTCCTTTTTGCTGTGTGAAGAACTTCACAGAATTGGCATGGGCTCTCGCGTTTACTTCCAAATCCAAGAATGAGTGCGTTGAAGGATGCATTTCCTGTATGACTCAGCTGGTCTTCCTGTAGTGGTTCATATGGGCTCTGCAGGTCTGGCAGTAGCTTCTAGTGGGCTCAGCTGGGTTCTGCTTGCACAACCCACAGATATAAACAGGAGGGCCACAGGATGTCCCACCACGTGGTTCTGTCCTGGGGAAGACATGAGAGTCCCTAGCAGCCCTCCAGTCCCTCTCGGGGGGCACATCGAGGCGGAAGGGTTGGGTCGGTGGCTCTAGGTGTGGGTGATGATGGCTGGAGTGATGCGGGATCGGGGCGGCTGAAGCAGATTTCTGGTGGGGCTGTCTGTAAAAACCATCCATTGTCCTATTTGATGCTGTAGTGCGGTGAGGGTGGGACAGAGTGGCGTAGACTGCGTCAGGGTAGTTCCAGGGCCCCGGGCCCGCTGGGGGTCCCGGCCTCATTTGGTGCACAGGAGGCCCAGATGAAACTGACCTACGGAGGGCTCGTGGAAGGGTGCCGTAACTCAGTGCGACATTGTGGTAATTTTTACGGGAGAAAGTTTCACCCCTGTCAAGCACAGCCAGAAACTTGTTGGCCTTTTGGCAATCTCCTGCAGAGAGGAGCGAAGAAGATTTGAATTGTTTATAGCAATAACGCATTCAGTGTAGAGCAATTGAAGTAAATCAAAATCTTGATATAGTTTAGAGCAATTAACAAATCACAATGGCTGATTTAATTATATAAATGTGTTTTGCTTGATTCAGAACAGCTAAGCTTTTTTTTGTGATTAGTACAATATTTTAATTTCATAATAATAGTAATAATATTATTAATTATAGTCATATTGATAATAATCATAAAATAAATCACATTTTAAAATCATTTAAATTGTTCATGCAGCCCTAATGCAAGGGACAGGAAATTGTTAAATTGACCAACTGTATTCATCTTGCAAGATGAATCATCAAGCTCAACCTCAAGAGTGTTTTAGGTCCTTTGACTAGTTTAACAACAAAACTGATAAAACTCTCACAGACAACAAAGATGGCAGCCTCTTGCAGACAGAGGGAAAAAGCATCTGTGTCCGCTACATGGAGGCTGAAAGTGCGAGTGGGGTGAGATGGTTACCTGTTTGTCCATGAGCGGGCCTCAGTGTCTGCTGGTGGAGGTGTGATGGAGGGGCGGGGTGGTGGCGGTGGCTTGGGTGAAGGTATTGGGGCTGCAGTTCGTGAGGGAACACAGGAGGATCGTGGGAAGGAGGGGGTAAAACATGCAGTGAGGTGTTGGAGTGACGTGTGGGGATTTGCACGTTCACATGCTTCGAGATCCTGGAGACATGAGGGTCCTTTATGAAAGAAATAAAAAAAATATAAGCAATGACAGGATGAGAGAGGAGGAGGCATGAAAATAATACGAGTTCCCATAAGCACCATGACAAGGACATAAATGACAAAAAAGGTAATTACAGAATAGATGGACAATGGACATACACATTATAGAAATTATAAAAATGAAAACAACAAAAACAACTTAAGCAATACATAAGTGGTTCTCAAACTGGAGTCTGCCAACTACCGGAGGTCCATGAAGGATTCTAAGAGGTCTGTGAGATGACTGGCTGATTTAAAAAAAATAATAATAATAATAAACTAAATAAATATTATTATAACTGTAAATAGTTTTGCAGCTGAAGTGACACCACCTGAAAGCAACTACATACTGAAGTTTCTTTGTGTCCTCTTTAGTCACACCAGGTGGCACTATTTCCCTTTTAAAATGAGGTCACAAACATTTAAGACCACACTGCCTAAAACCATGATGTATCATTTCATAAATACTGAGAAAAGTACTTGAAAGCTAATAATAAACTAAATAAATATTATTATAACTGTAAATAGTTTTGCAGCTGAAGTGACACCACCTGAAAGCAACTACATACTGAAGTTTCTTTGTGTCCTCTTTAGTCACACCAGGTGGCACTATTTCCCTTTTAAAATGAGGTCACAAACATTTAAGACCACACTGCCTAAAACCATGATGTATCATTTCATAAATACTGAGAAAAGTACTTGAAAGCTAATTTTGCAGCAAATTAAATGGTGCTAATGTATTTTGAGAGCATAATATGAGGCTTGAGTGTTTGACCAAGTGACTTTAATTTGTGAGACACCCACAAAGCTGCGAGATGGGGGTACATCAGTCCGTCCTCCGATGACAGTCCCACTGAGACTCCGAGCAATTCGTCGCAGGTTCTCTGCACTGTATGATTCATCCTCACCCAGTGGTGCATTATAGGCCACAGCAGACACAGGCTGCACACACACATAACAACACAGTGCATTAGCATTTCACATCATTAACAGTAAGAAAGTTCTTCACTTTGTGCAATGACAATTATACTCAGATCTTATACATGTATCAATACTATAAATTCTACTGAGATAATGCAGGTATGCAAACTCACCTTCTGAAGTGGTTTAGTGCTGTATGCTGGTGTCCTGTAGGCACTCCTCTCGATCTCTGCTGTGGGGGTTTTGGAACGGCCAAGTGTGGCAGAGAATCCAGCGTTGTGCTTTCGAGAAGCAGCGGGACCTAGGAAAACACTAAATTTATACAACCAGTTTCCAGATAGGACAACTCAGTGTTTATTATTATTATTATCATTTAGAACAAAAAATATTATTATATGTAAAAAAATATATACAAATTATATACACTAACAAATAATTATGATTTTTAATGTTTCTGAAAGAAGTCTCTTATGCTCACCAAGGTTGAACATATTTGATCAAAAGCAGCGAAAACAGTAATATTATGATTTATTATATTGAAAAACAAACACTCACACATTTTGGCTAGCGTAACAGAAGACTACATGAACACACAATAAAGCACGATAAGATATATTTATAGATATATGTATATA